CACCAAGAGTTTTATTACAATAACATCAACAGAAAGTAGAGCGAATTGTTGGTCGGCTCTACTTGCAAGGACGCGTTAACATCGAGCAAGATGTTCGTGATGAACTGAACTAACCATACGCTGCATCGAATGCTACTCACGGTTCCCTTTAGCGAGAGATAGTGTAGTTTTTTTTAGGGGCGAAGCTCTTTAAGGCGTGGCTTGTGCATCCCTCGTAGTACGTAACCACCAGTGGCACATACCCGAAATAGCGGTCCTTACGATTTTGACCTTTAGGTAACGCGCACGCTGCGATCCTCATTAGCAGCTATTGGCATGTACATTGCGCACGATCTGACAAGGAAGGGTTGCTACGTTATACTCGCTGGGTGTAAGCTCCTTGGTTTTAGAAAGGTTTAGCGAGCGTTGGGCCGCATAGCCATGAATACAGTGAACTAGTATATACCATGAACTCGAGGTGGTTTAAGGTGGGAAGTAAACCCGAAGCGCAAGCCGTAAGAAAGTGTGCATGTGCCATCTCCCGTTTAGTCCTTGAAATGTCCGCTTGATGGCGGTGCTTCTATATGAAGAATATATGATGAAAAGATGCGAGATAATGGTACTTTGAGTGCTGAATAGATGGACGTACGGACACACAGACAGATGCATGGATGGACGCATGAACGGACGCAGGCGTGGATGCATGGACGAACTCAGGGACGGACGCACGCACAGACGCACGCGCGGACGGGGGGATGGACGCATGGACGGTTACACAGACGTACGCAGGAACGGACGGAAGCAAGAACGAATGAACGGACGAATGCTTCGCCCCACTCCCCATCATTCACTCCGTGGATATGCTACCATTTTTTTTTTTGTGGCTCTGCAGAGCACATGATAGCGTTGTAAAGTATACCAAGGAGATTGAAAATTTAAATGGGGGGGGGGGAGTAGGGAAGAACGAATACAATTAAAAAGAGACAAGAAAACAGGAAATAAAAGACAAATAGATAGGAGATTGAGATAAAAAGAAGAAAAAAGGAAGAGCCAAAGGAACCTTTACAGTGAGTGAGAAAGAGAAAAAAACGCATAGAAAGGAAACGATAGAACTCAGAAAGAAAAACAGCTGAAAGAAAGACAGAAAGAAAGAAAGAAGGAAGGAAAGGAAGAAAGAAAGAAAGAATGAAAGAAAGAAAAGAAAGAAAGAAAGAAAGAAAGAGAGAAATAGAAATAAACAGAGAGAAAGAAATACACGCAGAGAAGAAGAGATAGGGACAGCCACGAAAAAAAATTCATAAAAGAGAGCAATCATAGCCATGTATGATATATCTCACCACAAGGTTTGAAAAAGACATGTGAGAGAGTGAAGGCCTAGCCAAGTCAGAGCCCGCTAGGCACCCACTAGCCCTGTTGCAACCCAGCCTTGCACTCCTTAGTGCAAGCTTCAGTAAACTTTTTCTGTCTTATTGCGCGTTTCTCGCAACAAACTTCCTCCTTTTTCCCTCCCGGCCATTCAGCCGTCACTCACAGGTGCTATCGAGTATAGGTTAACTTTGTGCTCTGCCAGTTCGGCATCATCGGCATCGCTAAAATTAGTCTGTTAAATTAGCACTGGTTTCGACGGCTCCTTCACTGGACGCAACATTGACTCGAGCCACTCATAACCATACTGCATACTGGACCCTATCATAGAGATTGCCTCCTTGTAACTTGGCCGTAAATTCTCTGTCACAGCTTTGCACTTCAGGACTGGGCAATCACCACTAGACTTCCGTTTGTGCTTCTGCAGCCCGGACCTCATGATTGGCCTGCCGTTGTCTTCTCGCTTCAGCATTTCCATGCCGAACATTTGAGGCGGCGCTGTGTGGTATTTCGGCTCCTGGGAACGGCAAACCCCACCTGCCCTCCGTTTTACGCCCATTGGCACGCCCACAAACAAAACGAGTAGTCCACCACCTCCTTCATCTTATGCGCACCTACTGTGGTTGTGAAAGGTGACCTGCTAATGTATATAGGCACCAGCGCGCAGTTCCCGTCCTTGATTTTAATAATCTAGTTGGAAGCTGCGGGGCTTGCCTTACCTTTGTCATTTATACGCGTTACAGGTTTTTTTTACTCTAACACTCACAACCGCGTCAAGATGGGAGTAGACAAGTCCTTGTCACCGAAGACACGCCAATCAAGTCAAGTGGTACTGCGCTATCAGAAGCCACAACGACGGAGATGAGCTTTGGGCTGTCCGAAAGCGCATGAGGCGACGCGTGTGCTTTGGTTGCAGCAAGATGGCGTTGTCGGCGGCTACGTGGAAATCAGGGAGTACAAAGTGATATGGGATGGACATCATTTGAGGGCAGGGAAGCTAGCAGCAAGATAAAATTTGAGAAGCGATTGAGAGAAATGGGGGAGGAGCGTTGGGCTAGGAAGGTTTTCAGCTACTTGTACATGGAGAATGTCGATACAAAATGAAGGAAGCGAACCAGGAAATTGACTGGTAAATACTTAGAAAACAGCAGGTGGCCAAACCAAAAAGCACTATCGGTTAAGAAGAAAGTGAAGGAAACGGAGACTGACATGTACAAAATGGGCATGATTAAGAAGTCCGCACTAGAGATCTATCGAACTTTTAAGCAGGAAATTGCCAAGGAAAGGATCTATGATAATACTCGGGGTAGTTCTCTACTGTTTGAGGCAAGGACGGGAGTACTGCGAACCAAGACATATCGGGCCAAATACGAAGGGGTAGACACAGTATGCAGTGCGTGTGGAGAGGAAGAAGAAACTGCCGAACACTTGATAATGTTCTGTAAAGGGCTTCACCCTATAGTTCAGGATGATGGCGCAGAGTTTTTCAAAGCACTCGGGTTTAGGGACCGAGAGGGCAAAATAAACTTTGAGCAAGTAGACTTACCTAGAAGGAAGTTATCTGATTGGTGGCTAAAGTGAAGGCACGAGTGAAAATTAAACTCTTCACTGCAAAGAACGAATCCTCAAACTCACTTTTTAAGAGAAAAAAAAAACAAATATAGTTTAGGGTTCATTAAGTATTACGGCTTGGTGGTGCTAGCCACCGCCCGATCTAAAGGGTACAGCCATATCCATCCATTCATCCATCCATCAGTGGAGGAAAACCACTGCGTGCTATTAACGTTTCTCCGAAGTCACAAGGAAGTCTCATCAACGAACCAACCTACCCATAATAAAGACGCCGATTCGCTTCACAACACCCGCTAAGCGCACCAGGTACACAGGCACGGGAGGTTTGCAAGGGGGCACACCCCGCTTGAAATATGTGCAAACAGTCATATACCTGGGATTTTTTTTTGTTTTTGTCATGAAAAAACTTTATTGCGAACAATTAGAGATGGAGCTCCCCACTTAGCCTCCCGAAAAAAAATTATGGTTACGTGCTTAGTGTGCAAAACTACACACCACTGGTATAAAGTGGCGCGCAGATGCACTGCGAGTTTTTTGCGAACACCCATAACGCGGACACTGACACGAGTTCCTGGCAGTACATAAAAAAATTCTCAGGCTTGCTATACTTGAACCATACTGTTTGAATAACAATCAAGGTGGGTACGTGCATTAGTAAGCAGCTGTATATATGCAAGCCGGGAGGCTACCCTGCTGATTGTTAAACGAGCCTCCCGTCTGGTTCTTGTCCGTCTTTTTTTTTTTTTTTGGTGCGCTTCAGCTAAATTTTCAAACATGACCGTAAACCAACTGGCCCCACTTGCCATCTCGCTGTCTGCTTACCTTACAGAAGCATTTTCGGAATAACAATATACAATGTGGAGCATGTTTATGTGCGGTAAATATGCCAGAGAGTTCCGGGCTGATACTAATTTCTCTAGTATTATGTTTAACCTTCTGTCAACGCGACGTCATATTGAAAGCCCAATACTTCTGTGCTCACTAACTCATTAGGACTTACTTCTTAAGGAAAAAGTTAAGTTCATTAGCCCTTCGCAATAATGTTTTTACAAGTTAAACATGTTAACATCTGAACTTATAGTGCAAATGCTCAAACGTTATTTTTTTTCTCTTTTGATAATTGGACAAAGGAATTCTTCCCCTGAAGATGCTCGTACATTGCCATTTCGTGACTTTTTCCCGTGTTTTCTTTAGTGTACTTGCTCCTAAAATGACTACACAAAGGCTGAAGCATTGCAAACGATCATAAATTAAAGTGTTGAATACCATACGTTATATTCTGGAAAACTGTTGTCATTGAGTGAATTCAATGTGGTTCGCGTTTGCTTTAAGAAGTGTAAGAAAAATTCGTAAGTCAATGCGCGGCTGTAAGAATCTCGTTCTCTTTCGATCAGAAAGTTCTTGACGAAAACCTCAGGGCCGAATGTTAATAACGCTACATCGCGGGAAGCATAAACAAACAAGAAATAATGGTTATTTAATACCACAAGTGACTGCTTTTTGTCTTGAACTTGTCCAAGAAGTCTGGTAGGTAGAAAGACAATCTCGATTGTGACATCACCACCTAACGCCACGTGTCCTTTAAAGATGCTGTTGACCGGACCTCTGTTATAGAAAAAAGTATTTTTTTTTTTGTTTGGGTCTTGCTAAAATGTCCGGAAGATACCTTTTCGATTCACGCCGTTGAATTTCAATTAAAGGTAATAATAATACTCCTTTCAAGGACATTGTAATGTTGTGGCCCATTAATAACTGAAATTCGCTAGGGTGCTCTCGTATGCATCACCGTGTGCCAAACTACCCATTTAGCCGTGATATGACACCAAGAAAGGAATGCGATAGAAGCCAACGTTTCAAAATGGGAACAAGGATTCAACCTTGTACGTTAATCTTCACTAGAGCCGAATAAGTTTGTATGAATAGCATGATTTCTTCATTGCCTGCGATACTCTTAGCACCACCAAAGAACTTACACTATTCACAGTACTTAAATAATGAATAAGTATTACCATCTTAATAATTGATATTTATTACCATCTAATATATATAACATGTTTTCTGCATTTACTTTCTGTTTGTTGCAGGCTCGTGGAGCGATTCCTGCTGGATGCCTAGTATCCTTTTTTGTGACCATATTCACATAAACTACTGTTTGCCTAATAATGCGACTGATACATCTTATCAATCTGTCATTGTGCCCTTAACAACGCCATCCCAATGCTTGCGTTTTCAGCAAGCCTCACCAAGCTTCAACGTACGCGCTCACGCTGTTACGGCACAAGACGAAAGTTGATGGCGAACCTGTAATAGTGGGTATGTATGCAATGATCATGAAAGTATTTGTAGAGATGCACATTTCCCCTTGTTACACGTAAAAAAATTTGAATTCGTGCTATTATTCACTGGTGGGTTACACTCAGCATTATTATTTTTTCTAGAATAGATGCAACTGCTTCATCTTAAACGAAACGTGTAAATGTCATGGCCATGTTTGTTTCGTGGTACACGTCCATTGTTCGAATGCTGCACGTTGTAGCTGTAGGTTATTTTTATCATTTATAGCTGAATATAGATCACAAGTGTATTGTTCTAAGGTAACTAAATGAACATTACTTGTCATTTCAGATTTTTGGGACACTGCAGGCCAAGAGAGGTTCAAGACACTGCACCCTTCCTATTACCACCACGCGGACGCTTGCATCCTGGTAAGTCTACGTTTAATCTTCGCGACGTACCCACAATTTCTGTGACGTAGTAAGTGTCGCCATTGAGGCATCTTGCACTGCAAAGCATTCTCTCGTTGTCCACATGAAATTTTATCCAAAACAGAATACAGTGTACTGAGAATCTCTGAATCTCATTTAGAAATGTATCGTATTTTTATCCAAATATGCCGGGAGAAAGTGTTGTCACTAGGTATCCGAGAATGGGCCTATAGACAATGTGGCTGCATTGCTATGCAAGAAAACGTCACTTCAAATACGCGCGGGCTTCAAATATTTTTTAGTTCTGGTGCCAACACAAGTGTCATCTGTAGATTGGTAATATATGACGCACTTCCATTTTAAATAGTGCTCTGTCGCTCGTGGTATCCGCTTGAACAGCTCAAAACCATTTTTTTATAATTTGGGCCTGCATAACACACCTGTTCTCCAGCACCTCAAAAAAAAAATACACGCGCTTAGTGAGTGCATTAATGCTCCATAGGGTATTAATACGACACAACAATAATGAAGGCGTTGAAATCGCCAAAGAGATACCGATGCAATCTGGCACGTTGGGAATAGTCGCGAAATCTTGACATTACTTCTAAAGTTGATTACCCAATGTCTCTGTGGTAGCATTCGTCAATCGAGTTCTGCGCCACGTGCACGAACTAATTTCTCGCCTTACAAACTCAGCTACAATAGCAGCGTAGGAACATGTGGTTTTCGTAGCTTCCCAATCTTCACAATTATTGCTGTGAGATGCCCTTTTGAGCTGTCCACCTGTCTCTTTTGAGCACTTTACTTTCTCATCTAAGCCTTCTGGGTGGCTCTCAGGCTACTTGAGGCAGAACTGGACACACGTGACAGTTCGAAGCAGCAATGCCAGTTAGTGATTGGAAACGATTGTGGTACACATTACATATGCAATAGCTGCAACGAAATCCAGCTTAATGGGTTCTAAAACTTCATAACTCTAAAACTACACAGTTATGTTTGGCAAGATCTCTCCACTAAAAGTTTGCGCACTGTGAGATACTGATAAAACGTTCACGCAACTTAGAGCTAGGGCAGCCAAGCCCGAAGACAGCGTGGAGCTGGGCACCTTTGTTTTTCCTAACTTTTGAATGTTATCTTCCTTTCCTGTTTTCCCTATTTCTTTCCTGCCTTTTTTGTGCATTTTTTGCCTTTATTGTCTCTTTTTTATTTATTTTTTCCTCTGTCTTCATTATTTTATTTTATTTCTTGCATTTTCTAATTCTTCAAACTTCTTTCTTTGCTTTCTGACTGCAAGCGACAACAGCGCACTTAGACCGGAGCCCGTAAGTGCTCCTTCGCTCTTATCACCACCAATGCGCTCGAAGGACGAAAGAAAGGGGAGTTCTTGGTGTAAGCGAGCGCTTAATATGCCCCAGATGGCTTTGCTAGTCGTGGGTTTGCCTGGGTTACGCCAAGACATGACAGCACACGACATTCCGGTCCCCTAAAATGTTCTTACGCTCCACCAACAACGCTGCACTTTTAATATTTGGATAAAATTTAACTTTCTGGGTACGTAACAAAAGGATTTCTTTGGACATATAGATTTCTGCGCCGTCAAGATCACGTAAAACCCATCATTCAACGTTATAACAGCTCGCGCCACTTGTGCGATAACAGATGCCTTTTGCCAGCTCCTGCCAAACATTGTATCGCAAAAAGAAATGAATTCCCAAACTAAACATAGCAATGTACCAGCGTCATGTTTGTAGATAGAGTATTAGTGTGCGCTTTACGGGTGAGCACAAAACACCTAGGTGACTAGACAGGTACTCTCACTGTAGCTTTGCGTCGCAAAAACAAAAGATTCTTCAAATTTAACTTAAGTTGGTATTGTTCATGTGAAATTCGCTAAATGCTCCTACCTGGAGGTTTCTTATGATTAAAATTACACGAAGGATACAATATGTGTGCAAGCAGCATGCATTCTCACATACTCAAGTCCCCTTGGTCCACATGAAATTTTAGCAGACTCGAGCTTCTTGGACCAGCAGAACTGTGTGAAGATGTGAATCTACAGAGCTGCTATTTCATTTCATTCAACAGGTATTCGACATCACGAGGAAGATCACATACAAGAACCTTTCGAACTGGTACAAGGAGCTTAGAGAGCACAGGCCCGCCATACCTTGCCTTTGTGTAGCGAATAAAATTGACGGTGAGAAATGCTTACGTAATTTTTTTTTCCGTTACCACAGTGCAGAACTTGCGACAAAATCCCTGTCCTTCCTCCTTCCTTCCTTTCTCCTCTTCCTCCTCCTCCTCCTCCTTTTTGCGATAAAAAGGGTTTAAGCTTTGTAGACTGCGAAAACTTAGTGATACAAGACGCCTGAGCCATTTGTGCGTTTGCTTGGAGGGGGAAGCGGGGGTTTAATAGCTTATTCCTAATGAGTTTAAAAGTACTCAATATTTATTTTACGTCCACGTAGTTTAAACGCGATACATAAATTGCAGGAATAACACTGGTCAACAACGTCACCATTAAACTTCAACATAGTCTACTCACTGTGGACTAGGTTAAAGTTTGAACATAGTCCACTCCCTGTTGTGAGTGGACTATGTATTTTAAACATAGTCCACTCACTGTTGATCACAGATCTTTGTCTTCAAAAAACGTTGCAGCACCTTCAACGCTTTGCGATTTATCTTAGATGGTCATGTGCTTAGTGTTTTATTCGACGTAAAGGTTTGCTCGGACACTAGAGTTCCAGTTCGAGTCACCTTCTGTGCGTCGTGTTTCAGACAGTCGAACAACACGTGATATATATCCACGTCGCCATCACCACACGAACATGCTCACAATTTTGCACGCTGAATCCAAAATATGATGTGCTTTGTGCAAGAAGTTATGAGTCTTAGGCGATGTGTGAGGTTGTTGATAAGTCTTGGGCACTAAAGATCTGATTGGTTCTCAAGATTAAGATCAACATCATGCAGGATTATTTACTGACCACTTTTTGGCTATCATTTGGAGAAAGATACTTCAACATAATGATATTTTGAGATCACAGCACAGTTTTGCGTTCCGCTCGTGACAATTTGCTTATAGCTGAATGACCATGCAATATTTTTTTCTTGTGTTACGCTTTTGCGATTCACGTAGAAAGCACAACGAGCAGTACTCTGTACTCAAGAGTCGTGTGCGCATGCCTGTGGTAGCGTCAATGTAGTTTTACGATCCAACGTTGTTTCTCTTACAGCTGACAGCACTGTCGTGCAAAAGAGCTTCAACTTTGGAAAGAAAAACGGAATGCCTTTCTACTTCGTGTCCGCTTCTGACGGCACGAACGTCGTCAAAGTAAGTCAGAAGATCTACGTGGATGCGTTTGAGGCACGATCGAAATTCTTTGATTACGTAATCATCAGTCATGTGATAGGAAGCCTCTAAGAAGTCATTCACGAGACTATTCTTAGAAAGTTTCTCTGAACTTTCACTGTACCATTGTAAATATACTTCCCTTTTTTCAAGGAGAAAAGATAACCAGTAGCAATTTAAGAGAATGATGTGTAGGTTTGAAAACCACATTGTGAGCATCCTATGGGCCTTGACCATCATAGTATTTTTACTGGTAGTGTGTATGTCGGATTCGGCAATAGGAAATTTTAACCTTGAATTCTTTTCTTCATATTTCTCGCCCGGCAAGCTTGTATGGCATTTTGGAAGATGATAATACGCTCTATAAATATGTTATGGTATACCTGGCAGAGGTAGGAAAACAAGAATAAATAACGCATCATTCAGTGTGGCAGTGGTTTTCAGGTGATTAAAGTAATTTTACGTGCTGCTATACTTTGGCGCTCCACAGTTAGTTAATATTTTACCCTGCTGTAGTGTTGCAGCAATACGTCTTCGTTGCATCCGTCATTTCTTGTTAACATGGCACACGTGTTGTTTTATTTCCTTGATTGATTGATTGCTATGTGTGGTTTAATGTCTTATAACCACCATATAATTATTAGAGGCGCTGTAGTGGAGGGCTCTGGAAATTTTGACCACCTGGGGTTCTTTAACGCTTTCATTTCCTTGAACATCGGCCTATTCGTTTTTATTTTAGCACTATCGCAACGCACTTTTCATTTTTCTGCAGATGTTTCGAGATGCCATTTCGGCCGCATACAGGTATCGAAAGGATCCCACTGATTTTATCGATCAAGTGTTGCAAGAACTGGAGGTATGTGAATCCAGTGCTATATTTCAACAACAGTATCCGAATCATTCATTTTTCTATGACGTTTAGCAATGCAGCTACTAACAGTACACCGGGCTAATTAAAAAAAAGTTACTAGAACTCTCCTTACAAAAATGAAGGCTTCACATAATAACCAATCGCTGTCATTTTCGAACATAGAATTTTGCGTCCATTTGTGTGTTTGTACGAATGCATGGAGCTGAAATGTTCGTATATTAAGTCTTTTGATTCTACCGAATGATTTCTACCGCGATATCACCCTCGTTAACACTATTTCATGAATTCGTTCAATCCATCATGTAATGCTTAATAGGAATCGTAAAAGGCGCAGGTTCGATGGCATATTCAGAAAAAGTGAACCACATCTTATGTCTTCGTTTGGGTATAGATGATTAGTATGAACGTCATATAAAATAAATAAAAAAATGCAGGCTGCGAAATTTTTGGTAGGCCTACTCGCTCTTCTCTGTAACTATAAGGCATGATGAAACATCGCTTAAGGTAATGCTGGTAGTTAATCATAATATACTCCAACGCAAATCAAGTGATAAACAACGTTGTTGAACAGTATATGTCGCTGGATTCACCGTTTTGATAGATATATTCCCCTTGCCCAAAAATTTCACTCTATTGACATTCTTTATTCAGCTATCTTTATTATCTGTTGAATTATCGGTCTTCACCGCAACTCCTGGCTTTTGGATACAATGGTATGTGTACTAAGGTTCTGGAGCGAAATAGAACGAAGAACTTGTAATTCTCGCATGATCACCGTAATACTTTCAGACGTTTAGGAAACGTATATGTGTCAAAGCTTCCCGTGCAGAACATTAAGAAACTACCAACCAATCAGCTATGAGGGCCAAAGTATAGTCTTATCATAATTAATGGTTTAGGTAGCGAATTGCTCATGCACCACCACTTTGTATAGTTATAAGATTGCTCTCTAAAAACAGTTGCCCTCATTCAGTGCCCTCTTGGTACCTCACAAGTGATCTTCACATAGCTCGCTCACACTTCTCAGTGTGAGAACTCGGCCTAGACCATATTTCTTTGAAGGATGGCTCGTCCCGACGATAGAGCACATGTAGTTTGTCACCTGAAAGCACCGAGCACTTGGCGTTTAAAGAAAGGAAAGGCACAATACATTGAGTGAGGTTATTATTTGGAGTGCCCCTGTCTTCGCAGTCTATATATAGATATTTCCTCGAAGAATGACATAGGCCCTACCAGTATGTTTCTAATATTGTAATTTCAGGGTTTCAGCAGTGAAGGCGAGACTGAAGACGTGTCTTCAACTTCAGGCGGGAGTCCATCGGTGAAGCCACTGTGAAACCAGACTGAGGTTACCGTACAGGGAACGACGCGAAGCATTCTCTGCTGTGTGTGAATGTCATTTGCCCAAGACTGTTTTAAAGTGGGGTGCTCTGAATTTGGTGCTCTCGTATATCAATTCTCGCTTCGATCAGATACCATCGCTTTGAAAACCGCTTTTTATAGAGTGTACTTAAGTAAAGGGGGATGTGTAAATAAATCTAGTAAACGTTACGGTTCGAGTCTTTCCACTGCTAGCAACAATGAGGCACTTCTTCGTGTGATGTTGCCTCTGATGAAAACTTTTCACACGTCACTTACCTTGCCACTGGTAATACTGGGATAGTTGCAGCATTGCAGATACATTACTACAGTGCTGCCTAAAATTACGACTTCTATTTGCACATTTCTAAAGCTTTGTTAATAATTTGATAGGTTTACTTAGAATGAGGACCAACAAAATAGAGTAAATTGCTGGAAACCGGTGGTCGGCACTTCGTCGCACCAGTTTGCCTTTCTCTGTGTTTCCTGCATTACAATATTACGACAAGTTCAACTGTGGCGTTTCCTTCTTCTTCACAAGAAACTTCTTAAAAACAAAAAAATATTGAATGCCGCTACAAATAACTTACATCGAGCATTGCGACGGTGGCTAGCTTCGAAGCATACTTTGGTAAGCAATGGTACTCCGTTGGTGTACGCACACTATAGTTATTTTCAATCGCCGAGCTTGTTTAAAAGACAGCCGCTTGCACTTTTCTTAGTGCTCGACTTTTCTTTGTTGGAAATGGCATGACTTTGTAGACAAATATACTGCCCGATATGTACAAAGGCCTTGCTGTCGACAATATTTTGTATTGCTGACCAATTCCTATTTCATTGTTCACCGCATTACAGACTCAAAGCACACGCCGACGTAAAAACTTATGACGTTAACATCGTATCGTTTTCTTGATACGTACCGTGGCACATGTGCAACGCTTAACGTGCCAAAGTGCGAGCTTTGTCGTAGTGGTCCCGATCACTTCGCGCTACTGCAGTTCTTTTGTACCGACCTTTCAATGCGAAAATGTAGATTGTAATTGAACTCTCGGTTCTGTGTATAGATGCACAAACCTAGGAGGTATCATTACCACGTCACCATATGAAGGTATGCCGAAACATTAATTTATTACTCGTTTTGTGTCACTGCTGAAAAGGTGCCCACAAAGTGTGAGTATAGCGCCTCTTAACTTGACATTCCTTCAATTTTCGTTTCGCTTGTAATAGTACCCGTCATGTTACTACGAAGTTTGCTTACGTTTGGTTCACGGCTATTCTAATACCCTTTTGGTTTACCTGTTTTCAAGCTCGCGATACTTTACGTTCAGAGTTTTCAGAAGAAATACGCATTGACAATCTATGCTAAGTCACTACTTTCCTGCGCGACCTTATGCGTTGAGGTAGCACTGATATTCCCCCCCTTTGTTTCCTTGTGTTTTTTTCTGTCGTATTAGTTTTGCCACCAACCTTTGCATCTGCTTCATTAAACGAGAAAAAAAGCCAAATCTATGATGGCGGCAGAAATGTGTGGCGCCTTGCGGGTAGATTTACTGGTAAATAAAACAACAAAACTTATTCTTCACAAACATTGCTTTATCATACAATTACATATGTAAGTTATTTATGGTGAAATTTTCATGCGAGTAAAGAAAGACAGCGACCTAGAATATGACAAACAAACGCGTTTTGCCCATTTCACTAAGTGTACTTTTCTGTGTGGTTTTATTTCGATTCAAATAGAGACAAACTAGCCCAACAGCTGAAGTTTAGCTGTGATTGTTACGTTTTTCCAGCAATTTGGTCAGTTACACGTAAATACATAAGGAAGTTTAATAAAAGCTACCAACAATCGAAACAAAATACCTACCAGGATCCACTGTGCGTTCACCTGAGACGACTAAAGTGTAAAAGGCACCATACTGTTTCTCTCACTTAATGTACGAGAAAGCAGGTCACTTGAGCTGCGGCTTCACGTGCCACTCTCAAGCGCCATCTTCCTTTTCATCTTCAGAGGTGACACGCTAACCAGTTTTTTTCGCCCCCCAAAGAAGGGTGATGCAATGGCATATGCCAACATATGTGGCGCAATGATGGCGTCCCAAATTTTCAGCATCTGTAACGTCATAATGGTGTAATATGTTGACTTCATTACATGAGGATTTTTTGCATTGCTCGTCTCCAATCCCGCGAGATATACGTCCCGACACGGGATATATCTCCCACGTGAGTTATATATTCGAATATATATCCCTGATATATGTCCACGGGAGTTATATATTCGAATATATATCCCTGATATATGTCCCATGGGAGTTATATATTCGAATATATATCCCTAATATATGTCACAGGGAATTATATATATATCCCTGTGACAAACCGGGAGAATTGATCGTGGTACCGTCTCCACCATCAAATGTCCCATTTGATGATCAATCTAAGATTCACGTTAAAACATCAGTTGAGTGTCAGACCTGCGCAGCTTTTATTTCTTTGCAATTCAATGATGGCCTCTAATATGGCTTTTCTTTTCTGATTAGTATACTTCTTTTGGGGGTTTAAGAGGAAGCTAAAGGCAGCTAATAAGTCCACGTTCAATCTTGAAATAGTGGTCCAGAAACCTGGTTGTGTTTCCTTTGTGCCAAGAAAGGGCCTATTTTGAAACGAAATCGTGTTTTAGTGATCCGCATTAGGCTAACGCACTTCAAATGACCCGCCTCAAGAAGCGGACCGACCGGAATCACGTAACTATTGCCGTGCTCAACGTTGCCCGGCTTTACTGGGCTAGTAGCGGCAGACCAAAAGCAGCGGGAATGACAGCAGCAACAACGACCATTGATAAATTTCCCGCCATTGGCTTCAAGATGCAGGCGTTTCTTTTTTTTTTGTTTGTTTCAACTGAGCTCCGCTAGATGGTACTACCTGTCCCGTGTAACCACGCGAAAATTGAATTTTTAAACAACGTGCGGCAGTCCCCATAGTGACGTCCGTTGGTTCTTTTTTTCCTTGAATCAAGCAGAAACAAACAGGAAGCATTTTATTGCGTCTCTTAATGTACAGAAGGTTTTTTATTTAGTGTAGTTAGTTCGATTAGTAGTGAATAATTGTAGGCGGTCCTTCTGATGTCATCATGATCATTTTGAAAATGTCCTACTGCAGCGCTTGTGCTCTTGCGCATTTATTTTCATTTGTTGGTAAGTAGGGCACTGTTGTTGATAATATTGTCGTTTTAAATGTTGTCATACATTGATGTTTCACTCTGACGTAGATTGTTATTTGACTTTAGTGTCCCTTTAGGCTCAACCATCGTCAACTATTAGCGTTACAACCTTTTGTCAGAAAATATCAATCCGCATGGTCGCACATACTAGTGAAATGGTTGCAGGGGTGCACTCGTCATTTCGATACCAAGACATTTATTATAAAATGTTAGACTGGCACACAAGCCATTAAAATGCTCAGTATGGTAGTGCTTTGGAATAAAAAAAAGTAGCCTTATATATTTTATCTTCACACGTTGCGACATGTTACGAGACATTGTAAAGCTAGCAGTGCAAGTCACTGTTATCATATGTCACACAGCCTACACTTCTCAGTCCGGTCGATTGGATCACTAAATGGTGAAACCTTATTCATAGTACGGATGCTCTGAAGACATTTTTTTGTGTGCGCCCTAACTCTTTTAAAATTTAAAATTTAAACATTTTAAAACTTGATTCAAACTTTTTTATGTTGATGTTTATGCGCGAAAACACCGATATAGGGAAAGTAGGCTAAGTCGAACTGCAGCAGTTCGCAGTCTCATGGCAGACACCTTGTGCACACCAAGTGATTATCTCTCAGAATTGCTAAGAGAGAGCCCTAAATGCTTCTTGAGGTTGCGGCTGATAGTTGGCGAACGCTACTAACGACAACCATCAAATACTGCTACGTATTTCAACCAAACAATGTTCACGTACCATCAGCTCTTACTTTTCCGAGCTACGCAGACCATATTCTATTCCCTACACAGTTTCCGTACCCATGCCCATGGAATGTACGCAGAAAATGTGCCCCACAGCATCTCAGTAGTTTTTCGATGTTTCTCCCGAGTTCTGCCTTTTTTCTAGTTCAAATTCTGAAGACAAGTACGTGTTTGGAAGGGGTCATGATCGTTCATGCCACTGGACTCGCAGTGTTAAATCAAAGGTCGCCTGCACTTCTTGGTCTGCAAATTTCGGTCTACGGAAAGTAAGTCATGCATCACGAGTCTGTGCTTTTGCAAAAAATAAATACAGTAACTTCGACATCAGCAGTATTCATAAAACATAAATGGTCACATATTTTTTTCACACACGCTATCTTCACGTGTATTACTGCATGGATGCAGCCAGATAGACAAATAAGTGGTGCTTCACGTGAAAGTTTCCACAAAATGGCGTTTATTTACTTCTAGGGTCCACAGGACTGGTTCGCAGGGAGGTAGGGTAAAAATGTAATTGCGAAATTTGAAATACTCAAATTTCCAAATGCGAATAAGAACAGCTACACTTCGTCGTTTGAATAATGGCCCGGATTTCGCTTCTTGTTTTTCGCCATTCAGTAGCCAGCCGTCGTCTTCACAGACACTGCCGCCAGGGTTCCCCTTACATGTTTAGCCATGAACGGAGCCGGGACGGCAACAAGGCACGCATTCCATGTGGTATTATGAGCATGCATATGCGCAGTATATCTGTAAAAAAAGACAAAGGCAATTACGATTCTCGGGGGTTAGGATCGTTGTCAAAATACTGATAGTTTCCACGTGGCGTAATGAACGCACAGCATGACTCTAATATGGCAGCTTCGATGACGTCAAAGAAGTGTAACTGCACGATGATTAACCTGCCTAATCGTGATAGTGACGTCACGGGAGAGTATCAGATACCCGCCAGAGGTTAGCGTGGAATGTACTGAAAACATTAACGCCACGTGAAAAAGTTCACGTTCTACCATGTCGCTGCTGTTTTAGAGACGTCCCTGCAAGTCACCTACAGCGCAGAATTCCAGTTGGCTCATGAAGCCACTTGTCAGGCTTATCACGTTTTGTCTCAATAAATTATAATGATTGAAATAAATAATGAGCTGACGAAATTTCGCAGAAAATTTTATTGCTAGT